TCTTTGGGAAGATTCCTAAATGTTTAGGATATTTTCATTTGTGGAATCTTATTCAGTTGATTAATATTAAATAGAAGAAACCTCCTGTTTTTTAAAAAGACATGACTGGTTGCATCATGATTCTGGAATATTAATATTCTTTTTTTTTATAGAGTCTATGATTTCTAGGCGGTCTGATAGAGATCACTGACTCAATACCTTATTTTCACTTGGGGTGCAGAGGGGAAGAGGCTGCACAATGTTGATTTTAGATGGAGAATGTTAAGTAAGTGAGTTGCAGATTTTAAAAATGTGACTTAGTGCCTAAATATAATTTTAATAGTCCAGGATCTTCCAGTTTTACTTATTTTCATAAACCTATATTATGCTTTTGTGAAAAGTGCTCTTTCACCTGTATACTTTAAAAAAACAAGTCTAATCAAAGACCTCTAGATATAAAATTTGCTTACTGAGCTTTATGAATTCTGCCAATCAACAGATCTACAGGTGCATATAGAATTGAAGGATAGAATCAAATGCATCTTGTCAGTAATGATTTAAATTAATTATTTTCAAAAGTTCCTGTTCTCAGGGCTTTCTAGTGCTCTCACATCTTTATTTGGTAAAATAAGTATATATGAACTCTTGTTTCAGTGAATCTATCCCTTTTGCTTGAAAGTAGATAAGAAAGTGTTATTTACTCCTTCTCATAACATAAAAACTAGGGGTCATCAAATGAAATTAATAGGCAGCAGGTTTGAAACAAACACAAGAAAATATTTTTTTAATAAACACAGTCAACCTGTTAAATTCTTTGCCAGAGAATGTTGTGAAGACCAAGACTATAACAGGATTCAAAAAAAGAATTATATAAATGCATATAGGATAGGTCTATCAATGGCTATTAGCCAGGATGGCCAGGGGTTGTGTGCATGCCAGAAGCTGCGATGGGTGACATCTAATGATTTTTGTTCTAGTCATTTCCTCTGGGGCATGTGTCATCGGCCACTACTGGATGACTGAATACTCGGCTAGATGGACAGCTGGTCTGACCCACTATGGCTGTTCTTACGTTCTTGACCAGGTACTGAAAGTATTGAGTTTTGCAGGAAAAGCATAAAACACTGGTTTCACTTGCTTCCCTTCAATTTTGTATGGGAGCAAGGTGAACAGGTTAGGTTAAATTATCCATGCCAATTAACTGGAATGTTAGCATACTAGTATGCATTATAGTGAGTCACAAATGTAAGTACTTATGTATAAAGCAAAACAAATAAAAAAAGCTAAGATATTTCTGTACAAGGGCACGTTTTCAAGAAATACACTCATGTTCACATAACTTATAAATGGATTTCAAAATGATGTTTGGGAAGATGTACAGATCCTGCTGCAAAGAGTGGAATAAATGCTACATGTAGTTAGGTGTCTAGGTTACATGAATTTTGATATTTTGAAAAATTACAATTGTCAAGATATCTACTCTTGAAAAGCAGCCAATACTTGTGTACATTATTTTCTTTTCATACAGATTATTAATATTGTACCATTTCCTCAGAAAGCATGATGGGATATGGAGAAAAGAACTAGCTACATAATTACCTGAGACAGCCACAGTTTAAGGGAATGCCTACAAACCATTTAAAAGACAATCTTATTCGGCCACATTTTTAAACTCATTTGTAACTTGAAAGCATATAAAACTATGGATAACTTAATGTGCAGAGGAGTGATGGAAGGAAAGAAACTTCAAAAAGTAAACACCCTAATAGCTAAGCAACAGAGTGAATAAATGGAGTCAGCCTGTATCAGAGTTTTGTAACAGCCTCTGTATCGAAGGCAGCAATGTGGGATGGCAGGCAGGAGCCAGTCTGTGCGGGGAGCCCACTTGCTGCCCTATGCTACTGCCTCTGCATCATTCCACAGAGCAGCCTCTGTCTGCAGTGAGTCTGGGTCCACTTCCACCGGTCACCCTGCACTGTTGCCTCTGACAGAAAGGCAGCAACATGGAGTGACAGGGGGCTCCCTGAAAGTGTAACAGGGTGTGTACTGGCTGCCAGCTCCGCCCCCAAGGGTATCGAGTAACAGTGTAACCGCTAAGAAATTTAGCAGTTACATGATTATTAAATAACCATTTTCTAATATCCCTAGTAAATAATTTCATTTAGAAGTTCAATGCCTGCAACAGAGGTCTAAACAAAGACCTGGTCTGGATGGCCCACTACATTCCACATCCTAATAACATAAAAAACTAAGCACAAGGTACTTAAGAGCACTTAGTACCCACTCTATCAATTTCATTTAGCATGGACACTCTAATTGACAATTTTCCCCTCTTTCCCCTCCTCTTCTCCCCCATCCCTTCTCTTTCTCTGCTATTTATTGGGAACTGGACCCCTTAACTCCATTCATCTGAAGAAGTGGATTGTGCCCATGAAAGCTCATGATACCATCTAATCAGTGTTTCCCAATTTTATTTGTTCACAGAACCCTTTTAAATTTGAAATAATTTTGCAGAACCCCTAATAATAGTCTTATATATGGAGCTGAAAAAGTAGATCACAAATAAGTAAGGATAATAATAAACAAATGCTAAACAAGGTCATGACATCCACATTTAGTTTAATTGCACATATTTAAAAACAAAAATCACATTTAATGTGTACAAAAAATAAAACTCAAAAACTAATATGCATTATATTGGCAGTTTTCAATGCGAAGAGTGGTTTTTCTTCTTATCTTGGCAAATTCTTTTTACATTTGGTTTAATACTGGAAAGTTGGATTCGCATATCTGGCGCAGATATCATTCAGTCGATTTCTGTATTTTGTTTTTGTTGCTGCATAATTCGAGAACCCAGTTTTGCACAAGTATGCGCTGGCAAAGGGTAACAACTGATGAACTGCATGTCTTGATAAAGCTGAATATCCTTGACAAAAGCTGCCCCAAGCTGTAATCAGAGAAACTTCTTTAAAATTTTTGTATTAATTGGCTGTCTGAAGCAAACACAAATGAAAATTGTTTTCAATAAAATTAATAAATGCTTAAATATTTTTTTTAAATCATAAAATGTTATTGTAATTGATTTTTCTCAGAGAACCCTTATTTTCACTTCACGGAATCCCACAGAACACCAGCTGGGAAACACTGATCTACATGTTTAGTTAGTCTTTAAGGTGCTGCAAGACTTTACAGTGGAACTGCCTGACTGGCTGAAGAAACCATGCCTGCAGCTGTGATTACTTCTGTACCTGTCTTGCTCTAGCCTTACTCCTATCACATTCCTATTCTGCTCCTGATTTCACCTCTGACCCTTGGCTGTTATGACTGGCTTGTGTTACTGGGTACATCTACACTTGCTCCCTATCTCAAGATAGGGATGCAAATGTAGCCGAGCAAAATTCCTAATGAAGTGGGGATTTAAATATCCCATGCTTCATTAGCATGATCTCACCCGCGCGCTATTCAGATTGCCAGCTGATTTGAACCAGGAAGTGTGATCTGGGCTGCATTAGTTCGAACCCCTTAGTTCAAACTAACGTTACTCCTCAAAAAATGAATCAAGGGATTTGATTCGAACTAATGCGGCCTGAAGCGCACTTCCTGATTCGAATCAGCTGATGACCGGAATAGTGCGCGGGTGAGATTATGCTAATGAAGCATGGGATATTTAAATCCCCACTTCATTAGGAATTTTGCTCGGCTACATTTGCATCCCTATCTTGAGATAGGGAGCAAGTATAGATGTACCCACTGACTTCAGTCTCCAACCTTTGGCTTTTTCAACACTAGGATAGACTGCCCCATCCTGGCTACTGACACCTCTCTGATTATTCAGGTGTCTAAAACGCTTTAAAAATCTGGCACTTACTATAAGAAGACAAGATAAAAAAACCATCTGGGTGGAGAAGAGGGGGCATATCTAAGCAGAAATGGGCTGAAGGAAAGTTATCATTTTGCTAAAACAGCTCCTATGCTCCTGTTTTTTTCTTATAGGAACAGAAGAAGGGCGATACTGGGTCAGACCAAAGGTCCATCTAGCCCAGTATCCTGTCTGCAGACTGCGCCAGCGCCAGATGCCCCAGAGGGAGGGATCACGTGAGGTAAACCTCACGTGATCCCTCCCCTGGCTGTCGCCCACCTTTTAAAGCGGGAGGGCTAGGGACAGAGTGGCAGGGGGGGGGGGGGGGGTCTCCCGCGCAGGCGCAGGGCTCAGCTCAGGCGCACGCTGCTGGCGGAAGAGGCGCTGCAGCAGGGCTCAGAGCAGCAATCGCGGCCCCGCCCCCGGTACCATGGAAACGCGGCCTGTTGTGCCTAGCGCGGCGGGTCGCCTAGCGCCGCCTCGGGGTCCGGCATGTCCCGGGTCCCGCTGCCTGCCACGTCCTCGGGCAGGCTCCACGTGCCACCCCCA